TTTAATACTCGCGCTACTATGGAGCAGAGCCAGACCGAACTTCCCCGAACTCAAACCTTGTGGGCGGGACTAAGTTCGGACTGGCACCCAGGCTAGATCAGTTATAGAGTCAGAACATTTTGCTGGTCCTGAAGTTAGATCGCTAACGGTTAGTCTTAGGGCCAAGGTGTCGTTTAGGTTAAGCCGGACATAAGCTGTACGATTTTTTTGCCCGTTTCGGGCCGATTCTCCAGTCGTGCGAGAGTTTTTCGATTGGGCCGAGTTTCTGCCTCATCCTGCGTCATGTAGTATACACATGGGGTAATTACGGGCGATCAGGAATCGTGAGGTCAGGAGAAAATCAAACATGTTTGAAATCCAGTCGATGGTCGTGGACAAATCCTGCTGATGAAGGAGAACTAGAGCCCATTTACCAGAACCTTGAGCACTGCGCAAGTGGAAACAAGGGGGTTCTTGTTGCGCCCCCTGCTGTCCAATCAAGGGTACTACCCACAAGTTACAGATCACTTTACCAATATGACTAAAGTAAAAATGAAGGATTAACTTGTAAAGTTGCAGCAGATTAGTGCAGTTTTATGCATTGATTTGCATTTGTGTTAAGATTAAAAAAAAAAAATCAGATTTCAATACACGTGTTTGACTTTGTTTTTCACCATTTGTTTTAGATCAACTGTAGCAAAACTGAGTGGAAGACATTATTGATGTGCAACTCACAAAACACAATCTGTCTACTTCAACTCAAGAATTTAAAAATGTGTAACTTTTTTTGCAATTGTGACAGATAAAATAAATCTATAATTACAAAACACCAAAGTTACGATGCACAATAGTTTTGCAACAATAGTTCTGGAACATTGGGAGCAAAACAGAGAATGTAAGAAGTTTTTGATGTGCAACTTCTAGAACAGAATTTCTGTACTTATACTTAAAATTTGAACAGGCGTAAAACAAATTTGTACTTGTGAATTTTTTTTTTTTATTCTACAAATACAAAACTTCAACTTCAAATTCACACGTACAATGCACAAATACTTTTGAAACAAAATAACCTTCAAAGACCAGCGCCATCTCTGGGTGCTCAGTCTGACCTGGTTTTTAGACGTAGAGTGTGAGCAGGTAGATCGCATCCGAGCGTCGGGTCGCACAGTGTGAGGTGGGAACTTTTAGACCCTGTGGTTTCATCTGTAGCGGCGTGCAACGATTGAAAATATCGCAGAGTGTACGCCCAGCTTTGGTGTTAGGATGAGGTGTGAACCCGTAACATTTAGGTTTTGCAAAATCAATGGGATTTAATGCACTCACTACAAGATGAGAATGTNAACAAAACTGCTATTTTCAATGACTACTTATTTTTGTCCAGCTTTAACATCGGTATCGATATCGGTTATCGGCTACATGAGCTTTAAAATATCGCTATATCGGATATCGGCCGAAATCCCAATATCGTGCATCCCTAATATATATATATATATATATAAAACCTCCATCAAATATCCTGGTGAGAACCCTGATACATGCATATACACTGCTCAAAAACATAAAGGAATATATATGTATTTTTTGATTTCTCCGTCTCATTGAGGATCAGTTATAGAGTCAGAACATTTTGCTGGTCCTGAAGTTAGATCGCTTACGGTTAGTCTTAGGGCTAAAGTGTTGTTTAGGTTAAGCCGGACATAAGCTGTACGATTTTTTGCCCGTTTCGGGCCGATTCTCCAGTCGTGCGAGAGTTTTTCGATTGGGCCGAGTTTCTGCCTCATCCTGCGTCATGTAGTATACACGTGGGGTAACGAGGGGCAATCAGGAATCGTGAGGTCAGGAGAAAATCAAACATGTTTGAAATCCAGTCGATGGTGTTGGACAAATCCTGCTGATGAAGGAGAACTGGAGCCCATTTACCACTGCGCCAAGTGGAAACAAGGGGGTTCTTGATGAGCAGGCAGCGCCCCCTGCTGTCCAATCAAGGGTACTACCCACAAGTTACAGATCACTCTACCAGTGTAACAAAAGTAAAAATAAAGGATTAACTTGTAAAGTTGAATCTGTGACTCACAGCAGCAGACTAGTGCAGTTTTATGCATTGATTTGCATTTGTGTTAAGAATTTTTTTTTAATAAGATATTAATACACGTGTTTGAATTTGTTTTTCACCATTTGTTTTAGATCAACTGTAGCAAAACTGAGTGGAAGACATTTTTGATGCACAACTCACAAAACACAATCTGTCTACTTGAACTCAGGAATTTAAAAATGTGTAACTTTTTTTGCAATTGTTATGGATAAAATAAATCTACAATTACAAAACACCAAAGTTACGACGCACAATAGTTTTGCAACAATAGTTCTGGAACATTGGGAGCAAAACGGAGAAATTAGAGGTTTTTGATGTGCAACTTCTAGAACAGAATTTGTGTACTTATACTTAAAATTTGAACAGGCGTAAAACAAATTTGTACTTGTGAATTTTTTTTTTTTATTCTACAAATACAAAACTTCAAATTCACACGTACAATGCACAAATACTTTTGAAACAAAATAACCTTCAAAGACCAGCGCCGTCTCTGGGTGCTCAGTCCCACCTGGTTTTTAGACGTAGAGTGTGAGCAGGTAGATCGCATCCGAGCGTCGGGTCGCACAGTGTGAGGTGGGAACTTTTAGACCCTGTGGTTTCA